TGGGGAAATACGCAGAATATATGAAAAAGTAACGAGCACAAAAAAAGAAAAAAGCCATTGAGTGAGGCCTTGAAAACAGTGCAGCACTCAGGGAAAACCAGCGAGTGTGGTTCAAGGATAGCAGGGAGCTTGCACACTGTCTGCAGCACCTGCCAATCAAAATCCAACCAGATAATTTTAGTCAGATCCTGATATATCCAACAGTGATTACCAAGATAAAGGTATCACATCCACATTACTATGCTGGAGACGGTTGTTTGAGGACAACAATGGTTTAGCACACTCATACTGTAAATCACCCCTCTGTTTTTGTACTCTCTGTATATATGCTGTATTTCAGCACAAGACAGCCAAAGACTGACCCTTCATGTCAAACGGGGATCTTTCATGCTGGAAAGGTGGCAGAATACAAGGAGCAGTTGGTATTGGCGTGTGTGTGTGTGTGTGTGTTTGTGTGTGCGTTTGTGTGTCTGTGCGTTTGTGTGTGTGTGTGTCAATGTGAGTGTGTGTGTGTTTCATTGCTGAGGTGACAGAATGGGGGCAGATGGCAGATTGCTGGGGTTCCTGATGACACACACACACACACACACACACACACACACACACACACACACACACACAAACTCTCTCTGAAAAGGGAAGAAAGAACATGGAGAACCTGGGCAGCAGTAGTTTTGAAGAAATCCATAATCCAGGTCCCTTACAGACCCATTAAAAGACATGGAGGCTAACTGTTGCTGTAGACTGTTGGCGTGAATAGTCACCTTTTAAAAAAAGATAATAAACAATAACAAATAATAATATAATAATAGCAGCATTTCCACATTCCCAGTATAATGCCTCATTAGATATCAGATAATAGAATTTTTGTGCTGCACACTGATAATAGTGTACTCTGCTGCAAAATTACTTCACAGTTTGCAGCGTGGTTTCGCTAAACGCACTGAACATATATTCTGACTCATTTGAATGAGACCACATCTACATGTGCTCTTGAGCTTCAGGTATGTTTTGAGTCTGTAATTTTCTTATTGAGTCTCACTTTGAGATTATTACATGTTAAGTTTAAACCACATCCACAGCAATGCAGTCCTGCTGTTACTTTACACTAAAAAGAAAATAAATAGCACTCCTTTTGGTAGTCCATTATTTAATAATTTGCTCTTTATTTCTTTTTTTTTCATGTGAGCTCCTGCAGCAGAGTGATTACTGTTGCCAAACCATTTTAAACTGAATGTTTCACATCATTTAAGAGCATGTCATTGGGAATGGGACTGCTAGAATACCATTATCATTAGTTTGGAGGGAGGAAAAACCTTGTGAATAGTAATTATATTCATGAGTGTCTAACGGTTAGGAATTTGACATTTAAACTTTAATAGGTATCACAAGCAGCAGCAATTCTGAAATGCCAAACAGCAAGCATTCTTATTAATGTTTCAACAGGAAAAAAGAGAAAGTCTGCTACTACAGGAGGAAAAGAAGGAGAATTCAACTTGAATTAAAAAGAAACATGCGTAACTATCATCAACTAGTGTGGCATGGGGGTCCTATGAAGCTTCTTAACTGTGAGTAGGGAAGTTTCAGTCACAGTGTACCTGAAGCCAAATGGACAAGCAATTATGGCAGCAGATTTTGAGAGGCATTTGGTTGGAAATGTGAAAAGGCAAAATAATCCTGCGTGAAGATTGCAGTTTAAAGCTGCTGTGAAGACTCTCAACTCTACTACATGATTCAGCTAAGATTAGCAAAGTCCAGAAAGTCCAGTCTAAACCCTTATGTCAGGGTTAGTGTACAGAGTATTTAGGAATCCCCATCTCTAGAGCTCCCAAAACAGTCGAGCTGCTCTGCTCTATGAGGCCCTTTCTTTCTGTCCCCTCTCTTATCACTCTGCACTCGTTCTCTACTTCACCATCGTCACTGTAATTCTCCCTCCATACCCCTCTTCAACACGTAATCAGCCGCTTTCATGATATCATCAGCCTCCTTATCTGTAGTGCTGACATTACAGTCTGTCCAGTCAAATGGAGGCCCTGCAGGGGATACAGGCCGCTAAATGACTGAAAAATAATATCTTTAGTGTTACTCTTATTCATTCTTTCCATTCATCCCTCTTTTATCTGCTCTCTGTATAGATCCAATCAGTCCTATGTGAGCGCTGTTCCTCTGAGACCACCATCAGTCTCCTGTAGTTCCTGCCGATGTCTGCTTTGGTCAGTTTTCCTTTAATAAACATATTTTCAGTGTTGCGCTGGCTTCATGCTAATATTCTGTTTTAGACTGATATAGCTTAATTCATTTCTTGCACTCTGTTTGTGCAAATATGTATTATGCTGTAGGTAATCCACCTTTGATACAATAATGAACTATACTGAACTATACCGTGAAAGACTGGGGTCTAACAGGAGGTCCTGAGGTAGGCTTGTTTTATATATTTTATTGCTTTGGAAAGTGGTCTTTTCAGGAAACAGAGTAAGCAACCAAACTGGAACTCCTGAAGAGTGCAGACGCCGTTGCATTAGCCGGGGATTCCTGAGAGTAAGAGCATGATTGAAAAAGGATTCAAACGTTTTTTTAAAGTAAATAATGGTCTTAAAAAACATACAGCTATTGAAATTCTGTGATTGTTCATGGTTTAAATAATAACCATTTCACATAATCCTGTGATTGAGTAAACAACAGCAAACAGTTATGTAGGTATAAAGTCTTACAGTCTGAGTGGGTCTAGAGTATGGGATTGGTATGATCTTTGGTCAATCCTGTATTTTCAGAGCAGCAGTGGGTGTCTGTATTACCTTCTGACATCAGTGATTAGTGTGGCACCTTCACACGGGATAAGTTAAGTCTGTAATTAACTGAATTTTCCAACTTTTCTGTTGGCAACCCTCCACAGAAGTCTAAAAACCATAGCTGCTGAAAAGTGATTAAATGAAGTACACATCCTGTAAACTTCCACAAAGCATGAGTGCCAAAAAACTTAACACAAAAAGGACATACCATAGAAAGCTCACACTATTTCAATCTTAACATGTGGATCTTTGAATGGATTCTAATTTCTCCCTCTGCTAATGGGAAATGTGGACTAGTGATGGGTCCGGCAGTTCTTTAAGATGTACTGAATCACTAGAATCAGTTCACTAAAAAGATTTGTTCATCGAATCATTCAGTGTTTGGTGGGAGGAGCCTACGACTCTGACTTCCTGAACTGATACACAGCTGAACGGTTCAGGTTCAAGCCAAGACCTTGCTACGGCTGGTGAGTCTCACTCTCATCTTATGACTGCCAGCCTAACATTTAAGTTTGTTGAATTGGGAACTAAATCTGTAAAAACAGTGGGGAACAACGGTTGCCATGAAAGTGTGTCCCTCAGACAAAAAAAAAAAAGATTCCCGAAGTGTAGTTCACTGAGTGATTTTTTTCACCAAGTGATTCAGGTGTCCCTCCTTCCCTCCCTCCCTGCTAGCTGGCTGCTCACCCAGCTATGCTGCGTGCTATGGCAGCTGTGCTGCTGACAGCTCAACCAAATGAAATCACTTGAAGAAGTGATTCCGTTCAGTACATTCAAGATTTTTTCTTTTGAACGAATCATTTGCGAATGACACAACTCTGACATGGACCCATTAATACCCTACTTTTTACCCTTGTTCAGAAAAGTCCCAACATATGTGTTTTTTTATTATAACCCACCATATCAAAGACTATGAGCATTAGGGGGAAAAGATAATATAATTCATTGTTGTTTTAATAAGGCTTATCAATATTTACTGATCACTACTGTGACACATGGAGTTAATTTCACTTCTGTGTACCAAGATAATTCAGATTAATTTGCTGCCAGACTCTGTCAAAACCTTCATTTACAATACATGTTTCCTTTTAAGCAGAAAGGAGGCAGAAAAAGCCGCTGACACCCCAAATAATCACAATGCCAATACAAATTGGATTAATATTATCTTAATACCTCTGTGAGTCCTGCAACATGGTTGGGGATTTTCCCTGGAATTAAAAAAAAAAATTACAGACATGCTGGATTAGCAGATATTATAAATGATCAGATGTCCCAAGGATTAGTCACATATGAATAAGGCTTAAGACGAGGAAATGTGTATGTATGTGTATTTTCGTATAGGAGATGAGACTGACTGCAGATCAGAGTTTTAATCAAAGACTAATATGGTCCTCATTCATCACTCAGGGATCGCCTGGCTGACATTACACCCACTCCCCCCTCTGACTCGCCCTCTTTCTCCTTCAGTCACAGCCCCCTTTTTTTCATCTTCTACCCTCACTTGTCCTCTCTCTAATTTCTTTTACATCATTTTTCCATCTCTCCTCCGTTAAACATAGTGTCCTTACACTGAAGGTTTTCACTTATTTATGCTTCCCCCATCTCACCTTCTTCCTTACATCCCCCCTCAGTCTCTCTCATCTTTCCCTCATCCTTCACTCCCTATCTTTGAACCATTTACCAGTCCTCTTGTACTTGCAGGTCTTTGAACTAGAGATCAAGGTTCATTACTCATCTGCCTCTCTCTCTTACATTTACTCTCTAAAAAAACTCATTCCTCTAACCCCTCGATCATTCTCACTCATCATCCTGGCTCTGTCTCGACCTTTCAGCCCACTGGATTTGTTTGTCTACTCCTCTTAAGTGTTGTTTTCCTTTCAAACTTCAGGAGACCACATGAAGATGGAGTTCCCCCCTCTACCTCCCTCCCTTCATCAGTCTGTGTTTTTCGCTGCGGCTCATTATCGCCTCAGTAACAGTCCCCATGGTGATAGCGTGGCTGCGAAATCCAGGACATCCTTGAGAAGAGGTGGTACCTTTTTGGAGGAGGAGAGAGCACAGCCGAGATAGAGAGGAGAAAGAAAATCAAGGCGAAGAAGCTGGAAATACTTTTCAGAGCAGGTGACAGAGTTAAAAAAGGGGCAGAGAGGACAAGAGAAGAAGGAAAGGACGAAGAAAAGGGACAGAGACAAGACAAGGCTCCAGGGAATGACAGAAACCAGGATGAGGGATAAAACTAGTATTTAAAAAAGGAAAGATGTACTGATTAATACTTGTTTAGAAGAGAGAAAAGTCAGGGTGACTTAGAAAGAAGGTTGTGAACAGGTTTGTACTGTCTGTCAAAGTGTGTTACTGTGAAATTCAACAGCTATTATTTCTTTTTATATCTGCTAGCTGCGTAAAAACCAACACATCAAAGAGGCAACTGGGCCCAGGTCCTGGAAATGGGAAAGGAGTTTGTCTCTTCTGCTTATGACTGGAAAAGGTAAAGGTTTCTTAAATTGACATGACATTCAGTTTAAACACCTGATGTGGTGTCTTGGCACCATTTTTGATTGTTATGTTATTCGAACACAAGACAAAAAGACAAGAACGCAAAAGGAACTCAAAATCTGAGTGGCTCATGACTGACACTCCTCTGTTTGACATGTGATCCTGAATGTGTGTATTTGACTCAATATACACGGCTGTGTCATCCTTGTGTGTCTATATTTGTATATTTTGGCTTGTTACAACCTAAACAGTTCAATGAGACACTCTGATAAAGCTCTAAGGTGATGCACTGATCAGTTGTTTCAATTTATACTCATATAAAAACATTTCATTTCTTATATTTTGTTAATGATCGCAGGTTTTACGAGGGTTTAAAAACACCTGTGTCACAGCTGAATTTGATATAATAAGAGGTTCATATTACATCACTTTCACAAGCTACATGAACTGAAACATTTACTTCATCATTTCAATGACAGTAAAAACTCTTATTACTAAGGTTTAAAACCATCAAATCTCTATCCTCGAGTAGGGATATGACCACTGTTTGCTGACATACAGCAGAGTGAGGGTGAAGGATGAAGAGCAGATATGAAGGAAAAATACTAGTACACGTATACACACACGCACACACACACAGGGACACACAGCATCCTGACCCTTCAGTGAGCTCTTGTTCCCCCTTGAGTTAGACACAGAGGGTGTGTAAGTGTGTGTGTTGGCTAATCTCCCAGGTGTAGTGGGAGGGATTCTTGTATTTCTCTTCCTCTTAATGTCAGAGTGGCATTTCTCTCCCTCTCTCTCCCTAATTTAGCAGTATGATCTTCATACTATTTTTAGAGAATGCGTACGTGTTGGTCTGTCTGGTCTGAGGTGTTTTTGTGAATAGATTGAAACTGCTTTATAAGTCAGCTACTAACCTCAGTGCAGACTTTATTTAGAGATACTGCTGAGTCTCCTACAGCTGTCATTTACTTCTTTGACGCCCATTAGAGACTGAAAAACTCACCCCACTCCATGTAGTTGATTAACATACATAATTCTTCTGTACAGTTTTTGCATAGCTTTCAGAAATGTTTTCATGTCAGTGGGAGTTTGCAGTTTTAATCAATTAATTTTGCAGAACCTTTTAGATTTTTCTTTCGAACAAAAGTTTGTCTGACCATAAAACCAAAAAGCTCCTCAGCAGAGTTTCAGCTGGTTATCTAACATACTGAAATGAATATCAGTGCCTCTGAGCTGTAAAAATGACAGACCTTTTGTGTTTAATATTTTTTTCTTTTTTTTTTAAATTGTTGTTGTTGTTGCTGTTTTTTTTTCTATGTCTGAAATAGCTGGCAGTAGTAGGTTCCACCCATAGACTGTATATATTATGGACAACTTGGCTCCACCTCTCTGTATATCCCGGATTTTCTCCACTTACTGGAACCACCACTTGTGCAGTAGCATTGTACGCATTCAATGGGAGAGTCGCTGAGATGACACTCGGCTCAAACAGCGACTCTCCTTGGTGAGCTCTGCAATCTTTGTACGTTCATAGGCTGTATCAGGTGTCAATCATAGAAAACAAGCAGGGGGAAAAAAATTATATTCTGTGTAATTAATTCTACAGTTTGTCCACAACTCCATAGGGATTGCTGGAGGAGGCGGGATTTATGACCTATACTGCAGCCAAATAATGACGATAATATTCATTTAATCTAAATTTGAATAGATTTTCACATGTTGATAATTGCTAACTTAAAGTAATGACCACAGTAATGAAAAAAAAAGAAAGAAACTCATGCTTCTTCTTAGCAGGTTATGTTATGGACACCCTTCTGCTTTTTTGCGAACTTAGGAGAAGTGGGGAATAAATGGGGGGAGTGGAGGGTAAAAGAATGAAGATGAAACATCTGTTAAATCATTTAGTTGACAAGAACAGGTTGCTCTCTAATCCCCCTACGTCATCCATACTTTACGGGCTACAATATTTATTTATTTATTGTGCTGCCACAAATAAGACCCTCATAATTTGGCCTCTGCACATGGTGGCGCTCAGGCTCATTACAAGTACCCACTATTACCCACCATATGCTTTAATTCTTACTGACTAACTAACCCACAAACTGATTTGCTATCACTAAGAGGGGATAGGAGATGAGAAGGGAGGGTTTGGGTCATCACACCAAAAAGAGAAGGCAAAGAGAGAACTGAGGTTTTTGGTAAACTGAGAAGACTGTAGATTTTCTCATGGATATCAAACCAATATCATATCAGACTATGTATTATCAGATATTACTCTATGATGCGCCATGTAAAAGAAAAATATGTACAATATCATCATTATTGTTTTATAATTTTGGATTTCATTTGGAGATTAAAGTTTGGAGGAAGAGTGGAGAGACATATAATCCAAGTGGTTTGAGGTCTAAAAATGATGCAGACTGTTAATTTGTGGTGCCATGTCATCTGCTGGTATTGAATCACTTTTATTTTCTAGCAAATCTAAAGTCAGGGAATCCTTCAAAAAAAATATTTCAGTCAGGACCACTTTAGTCAGAATTATTTATTACAAGCAAACATTTTTACATTGGCGATATGGCTCTGTTCTGAGAGTTCCCTGCGCTTGCATGGAATGCCACGGCTATAAGAGGGGAGAGCCCCTCCCCTCACTTTCATGTGCATACATGAATGGCCAAGGTAGCAGATAAATAAAATTAAGATACATTAATTAAAATCCCCCAAAACAACCATACCAGACGTCCCTACTGGCTTTCATGAGCTACATGAAAGCCGAGGTGGGGAAAGCTGCAGCAAATAAATAAAATTAAGATAAATAAATTAAAATCCTCCCACAGAACAGAGCAAGCATCAGTGACAATACATATGACACTGGTGAGATCAGACACAACATAAACAGGAGGAGTGTGGGTGGAGGTGGGTTGAAGAGTGGTTGCAGCAGGCAGAGTAGGCAGGAGAAGCAGTTTAAATAGGGTGCCATTTTGACATTAGCCAATAGGATGTGTAGACGGTGATCAGCTGAGCTGTCAGCTGACTGAGGGCTGGCTTAAGATCAGCTGACTGTAGCCTTTAGCTTGACTTCCTGTCGTGTCTGAACTACTACTACTAGAGCACATCATGTTTCCTGTCTTCTAACAAACTTTCGAAGATGCTGATTTCTTTTTCCAGCGGGACATGGCACCTGCCCACAGTGCCAACTTCTACCAAATGGTTTGCTGACCATGGTGTTACTAAGTTTGATTGGCCAGCCAACTTTCCTGACATAAACCACCCGTAGAGAGTCTGTGGATCTTGTTTAGTAATAGTGCTAGTCAAGAGTTGTTTCATTCGGGAACCTTTTAAAGAACCAGTTTACTTTTCCATGGTTAGGACCACAAGAGAACCACATTTATGAACTCATCTCTTATTTCTCAGAAACACTTGCTGTAGAGTTGATAAATTTACATGATGCTTTTAGTATAACACTGTTTTTCTCTCTTGAAATAGATGTGAAAAAAGATTGATGATCTGGTGTTCAGAGTCCACAGATTTCCTTTGCAGTATGGGTTTATCAGAAATACAGGTGCAGTGAAGTATCTGAATATTCACGGTTCACCTAAAAGCCACACAGAAGCAACAACCTAGAATTAGATGTAAAGATAAACATACTTTAAGGAAGTTGGACAGTTTTTTATTTTATATCAGTTTTTTAATTAATTTTGGAAACAGTCTCAATATTATAGCAATTGGATTCTTGATTTATGAGCATAGCTTGTGGCCAGAATCATATCAAATTAAAGGCTTAAAAAGCACTTTTTTCTGGATATTCTGTATAAAAATGTTACATGGTGTTGCATGGTGAATTTGTGAAATTCATATTTTGAAGTGTTGTGTTTCAGCCCTTGCCCGCTTGGCACTTGGAGCCAGAATAATGCATATTTATCCAGGAGAGTGAAATCCAAGGGAGGAAAAAATTTGTTGGCATTTTGATGAGGATGGACTCAATATTAGAGTCAGCCGAGAGAACTCTGTTTTTCTTCTTCTTTTTTTCCTCTTTTTTAAAAATTTTGTTTATTTTAATCCAAAACTGAGATTTGCAGTTTAAGTTTTGATTCAGTCTTAAAATTATTTCCCTCGTAGATTTAGGGGTTTTTGTTTGTTTGTTTGCTCTCCTTATATCCACTTCCAGGTTTGGAATGCAGTCAACAGCAAATACCATCAAAATGTCAGCTGATCTGGTAGTCTTGGAACTGACAAAACTGCACAGACTGTCTATGTGGTTAGTCTTGAGGCAGCTGGCTGTCCAATCAAGCAAGTACCATCAGGGTCAGCTAACCCTTTGGTGGCAGTTTTGGGGTTGTGGGCAGGTGCTGAGTCCTGCTGGAATTGGCATTTCTACATAAGTGAGGAAGACAAGTGTGAAAGAATAGTAATGGGTTAGATTAAGTGTTTCTTTAAGAGATCCAAATCTGCTCCGATTGAATCAATTGAGGTGATTATGACACTGTTGTTATCAATCTAAAATCACTAAAAGAATGTATTTTCATGTTTGAATCTATTTATCTGTACTTTCACAGGTCTTAACAAACAATATTCCTTCATTATAAACCTCAAATATTCTTTTACTTTCATAAGTAACCCAGGTGAGAAATGTCACATTTTTTGAGAGCTTAATTTTTCAGGTCTTGGTGTTATATTATCAACCAGTTAATATATGAAACTACGGAGCCCCTCTGGTGACACTGAAGAAAAAGAAAATTAATGTGTGGTCACTAGTTGGTATCTCGTGGCCACGAGATACCAACTAGTGGCCACACATTAATTCACCAAAATTATGAAGAGGCACACTTTCCAGAAAACAGCTATTGTAGTATGACCATGAGGACACCTTTGGTGTGTTTGGTGATATTGGAGTCTCTGTACTGTATGACAGCAGAGCTACTTGTTTTTGTTTGCAGCATCTTGCTCTTGTATTGCAACTTGCAGACGGTCCCTGTGCGCTCGCCTGGCTACCGGCTGCGCATAGAGATCAATATTATTCATCCAGCTCGAAGAACGGCTTGTTTTTGTGACAAGCCAGTTTTTAATTCTTGTTGCTGGTAGTCTGTGCTATTATGACGTGAAAGAGGCATCATTTGTGTTTGGACAACGTTTCCTCTTAGAGTTATTGATCCTGGAAGTCTGAATCTGTGAATATCTTTCCAACTTTACTGAACTCTGTGAAGGTCATGTTTTTGGGATGTGGGAGGAAACTGAAGTACCCTGAGTAAACCCATGCAGACACAGGAAGAACATGCAAACTCCACACAGAAATGCCCTGACCCGGATTCGAACCCAGGACCTTGTTGCTGTGAGGCGACAGTGCTAACCACTACACCACTGTGCCACCCTAAATAAATAAATAAATAAATAAATAAATAAATAAATAAATAAATTCAAGTCACAACACATATTAACATTTAAACCACTTTCGCTGGTTGATTAAGAGGATGTGATGCTGGAAGACTAAATGAAGTTTGAGTTTAATTAAAAAAAATAACTGTAACAAAGGCAGAGAGCAGCAATCATATATGTCCACTTGCTTGATTCTAAAGGGCGTTTGGACTCAAGGTACAAAGCCTCAGTGAATAGGCAGACTAATTGACTCACTTTACATCTGAAGCAGGGACCGTAGATCCTAATTAATAAAGTGATACTGCCCTGCTGGGCTCCACCGCCGTGAACGATGGGCAGTTAATGGCTCCCACTGTAAAGGTGCCAAAAGGAGCTACTGCCATTTCTCAATGTGTAGAAATGACTTCTGTTTATTTGTTCGTCATCTGGGTAACGTGGTGACTCCAATCATCGTAATAGATATCACCATGGTGGATGATCTTCAGGACAAAGGAAAACTCTTACAGTTATTGCTTTGAGAGTCTCACACTTCTGAGTGCAGTTACATTACCAGTGGTGCAAAACCAACAAAGACCTCAGCTGCCAAAAGCTCTGATTCACAGTGTGAGTGTTGTCATCCACTGATCATTTGTGAGAACTGATGAAGATGTCAGTGTTTCTGGGTCTGTGGTTTGCAAAGTAAAAGTTCCTGGTCAATAGTTTGTGATATTTCACGACACTCAGAAAGCTCTGATAATGTTAATCCAAATTAAATCTGCAAAAATTCGGGGTGGCTGTTTTTTTTTTTCATTAATTATACATATTCATATTTTTATAAAATTTCCATGGAGCTTTTTCTGCTTTCTTCACATCAAAAATGTTGTTGACTGTGTAGTAGAACAAAAATGTAGACATATTATTGGTGCAGCTGGATCATTTTGCTGTACAGTGCGGGTCAATTCACAGGAAGAGTAAACTAAAATCAATCAATATATCCATATACTATATAAAAAAGTGATAAGTGGATGATTTGATTTGTGTCTTTCAGGAGAGATGATCAATTGCCTTCGCAGTGCGAACAGTTGGAGTAAAGAAAGCCATGCGCTGTCTGCAAAATCCAAGGTGCACCGGATAGCCTTTTAGTATGTAATAAAAACAGTTGAAATGCTTTGATTATTGTTGCTTTATAACAACTAAATCCCTCATGTACTCTTTCAAATCAACATCCTGGGCATTTTTTTCCCCCAAAGACTACAGCATCAGAAAATAGTTGGAAGAGTTGATGTTTTGGTGTCAACAACAGCTCTTTGTGCTTGTCTCTTCACAGGTGACTCTTGTAAAAAAGGTCAGTGTGATTCATCTTTAAAGACATTCCAAGCTTGGGATGATAAACTGGAGGAAGCAATATGACAGCAGACACTGGGGAAAAAGCTGAAGTGGCAAAATAAAGAGTTTCATGAGTGCTAACAGCTAGCCTTTGTTGATTCCTGTAGAGACATAACTTATGTGTCATTTCATGACTTTAGAGCTGTGTGTAAAGTAACACCCTAAGGCTGTGTCTAACTTTATACCAGTGAAAAAGCAGACAAAAAGAAGATGCTCAGGCAAAGGCTGAAAGAGCTGAAATTAGCATTTTTAAGGACACCAGTCCAAGAAAAATAAGGAGTGAAAATCATGCAAACCCACTCTGTAGATGTTCTAGACATCTAGGCTGTTATCCAATTACACCCACAGATACTTGTGGCCATCCACAATGTTCACACTGACCTCCCCAATGGAAACAGGGGTCACTGGTGCCTTTGTCCTCCTAGTCAGATAGTCAACGATCCAGAACACGAGAGGAGCCTCTACCTGCAATGCTGTCAGCTGCTCACTCAGTAGAGCTGGCCTAATGGTGTCAAAAGCACTGGGGAGTTACAAAAAAAAAAGAAAAAGAAAAACATGACCCGCACAGTGCTCTTCGATTTGTCCAGGTGAGCGTATACGCAGCTGAGCAGGAAAGTGATGACACTGTTTGATCACTTCAGGCTTTGAAAGATGAGCTCCTGCCTGCTGGTTTATTTTTAACATCAGCTGTTTTTGTATTGAATCAAACTACAAATAGACTGTTTTAACTTGAATGAATATTAATAACAGTTTGCTCAGTTTACATCTATGATTTAAATCTTTCACTTCACTTTTTTTTTTCTCATTAATGAGCAAACCTGAACAGGTTACATGCCACCTTTTTCTAAACGATCCAAAAATGTTCTGTTAAGGTTTACTGCAACAACCAACTACTGGGGCTTTAGGCGACATTTCATCTACAGGCAGAGAAAATAATGTGCCTGAACTGCAATATGTTATTCCAGTTTTTGAATCCCCTTTTTGTCTGTTTGCATCTTTTATTTGAGCCGTTGGACAAGATTGAAACCATGTGCTGCAGAGCGTTCAAAGGCTTCTCATGCATTGGTGCTTGCTACATACTAATTTGTCAGTCTTCACACATTTGTATGATGTTTTATGTCTTAAGTGTAAAGAGAATACTGTATTGGGATTGGCTCATTATCAGTGGAAGGGATCAATAAGTCATCTTTAAAGCTTTCATCTATTTTCATCTATTAATGATGTAAATATGTGCCAGTATAGGATATTTCTGCTGAGAGAAGCCAAGGCCTTCGTCATTTAAGGAGGAAATCCACTTAAAAAAGGACACACATAATTTAGTGCCGGTTCCCTTGAACATGTGCAGACCTTAACCAAAGCAAGAAAATCTCATCTGTAATCTGGATGAAGACAAAAAGAGCACATTTGTATTCCTTTATGGACATGCTCTGTTACTTAAAACATGATAAAAAGTGCTCCATCTGGCTCCATCAGTGAAAAAGCATTATATTCGACTTCATCCATGTCAAATTTCTCACTGAGTCATCCACTGATTACCTCTCTGTGGGTCTGTGTTATGTAGGAGGTATGAAGTGATCAATGGCAGAAAATAACTGTTTACTAGAAGGACAAACAAGAAACAACCTGCAGTACAGCAAACACAGCTTCAAGAATTGATGAAAGAAGTCAGTGATTTCAATTTCATTTTTAGAGCTGGAATTCATCTCATATGTATGTTGTCTTGACTCCCACACGCAAGATGTTCAGCACCATTCTTTGGTACGCTGCTAGTAATCTCACAGTTATGGCTGTCAAACCATCAATTTTTAAAACTGTGGTTAATTGCTGAAATTCAGTAATTACTTGCAATTAACTAACCTTCTGAGATTTTTTTTTTTTTTTCATTTTAAAACAGTTTTTGATTCCATATCATAAAACAAGTCCTACATCTGTTTTGTTAGAGGCAGAACTTTTTTTAAAGCTATAGTGGGAAATTTCTATGTGTTTGTAAACCTCCATTTCAGCCAAGACAGTACAAGAGGAGATGATGCAACGCTGATTAAGCGGTTCAGCTCCTCTAACACCTCTCAGTATTTTTCAGTATTTGCTCTTTTTGTATTTGGTGTCTTTGGCGACATTCCCTCACTGGCACACAGGAAATGACGCATTCTACTCAGTTTTACCTGACAATTAGAAGGGAGGGGGGAGTAGAGCGCTGCTAGAAACAACATGGTAGAGAACCTGAATAAGCGACCAAGAGGTCCAGAAGTGGATCCTACTAAAAAGAAAAGGCCTTCCTGTTCAGGAGACGGTCTGTTGGAGAAGAAATAAAGAAAACTAATTATGATATTAACATTCATTATGTCCCCAAAGTGTCCAAGAGCTGAATAGCTCCTATGTGACCTGCCACTTCAACTACACCGGCAATGTTAGGCAACAAGCTAGCGTGAAGAGTGTGTAGAGGAACAGTGTCTCTGTCCGTGACTCAGAGGCGAATTGCTAATGAGCTACTGGAGCTCTACAGAAGAAAAGCCCTTAAAATGACACAGGTAACGTGATTTTGGATGAAAACTTCATAATGATGATTGAAAGACCACTGAGGGCACTTTGAACTATTAAAAAAAATATATAATCGGAGTTGGACTTTAAACTTGTGAGGAAAATCTCACTTGAGATACATTCAGTCTAAAGCACAGCAATGCTACACAAGGTTTAATATGTTCAGGACCAAAACTCATTTAAACTATTGTACTTCACCCTGATTTCACCAGACCTCAGTTACAGTGCAGAGTTACGAGGAAAAAATGTATGATGTTAGTTTAAAGCCTCTGAAAACATCACAGGATTGAACTATAAGGTTAAAGCACAAAACATCTGCAAGGGGTCACGACAATCACGACGATTTGAAAATGTCTTGAATCGTGTTTGGAGTCAAATGTGGCTCATTACCTGCTAATTTGCAGAATCTGTTTTATTTTGGTGCACAGGAGGAAGATCACTTTACAGTGAAATACTCCTGAACCACAATATAATGAAGGCCTCTTTCAACCTGTGTGGTCAGTCTTCGATAGGGCTGACTATCCAATTGATCATTTGTTCATCCCTCTTTACTGAATCCACCAGTACAGAGTTGAAGAATGTGTGCATTCTTTGGCTTTTATCAGAGAGAGGGTATTCGTTGCAACTGAAGTTTGCAGAGCAGCAGCAGACCTCTGCTTCACATCTTGCACTTGAAAGGGGAGCATTTAACAGCACTTAGATGAAACTCAAAGTTGCAGATGTCCAGTCATCTGTGCTGAGTTCATCCTGTATCACCAGGGGCTGATGTTGTCCAAATGTAAGTCAGTGTTGACTCTGTCTGAGTGTCTGCCTGGGCTGTTGCAAAAATGATCTGTGAGTGTAAACCTCAAAGTAAGAGATACCTAAAAATATGACACAGGTTAAGACTGCAAAGACCTTCTCATGTGTATTCTGACTGAAACCTGGAAGTCAGTGCAGCTTATAGAGGAAGTGATTGTTGTTTTCTTTAGCTTTCCTGCAGAATTAATACTGTAACTTCATCAGTTTGTCTTGTTCGTTATTTTTGCTGTTTAATGAAGTTTCATTCACTGTCTGGACACTTAAGACAAAATACAGTGAAATATATGATGACTTTTGGACTTCAACTAATCTATCAACGCTGAGCCTTTTCTACTTTATTTTGGACTCAGGCTTTATCCTTTGTTTTTCTCTTGGATTTTCACAGGGCAAAAGTTACAGACCTGGTTGATTTGAATAGGATTTAAAGCACATTTAATGATGCTTCAGATTGGTACTCCTAAACTTTGTTTTTAATGTCATTTACATGTGCTTTCTAAATGATCAGCTGATATTTCCTCTCCACCAGTAAAGGATCAAATCCAGCCTGGCCTCAGCTTGTCGCAGTTATTGAGCTTCTGCCCTAATGAGGCAAGGGTTAAGTACCGGAGCAGGAGAAATATAGTCCTGCACACCGCACTGTATTTGATTTAGAGGAAGTACAGATGATTTATACAGCCCTCAAGTTTTATATTTCCCACAAGTGGGAGTACAACTCAAGAGAAGAGGATAGATGAGGTTTAAACAGATCACAGTGGGCTGGGAAGAATCTCAAGAGGGGATAAAAAGTGGTGAAACAACCGAATAATGACTTTATCTAACTGTGAATGTTTGAGAGGAAAACAGTGCAGCCAATTAGGTGTGTTAGTCTGGCTGATTGCTGTGAGGTCTTGAATAAAGCGCTGTTATATGTGACAGTAGTCTTGCGCTGTGTCACTTGAAGAAAACTCTTGAGAGTCTATTAAAAGTGAAGAATTTGGTTTTCAACACTTTTGTAAGAGAAGTAACTAGCTCTTTTTTCTTTTCTTTTTTTTAGTGAGTGCTGTTAGATGACTGCGGTTTGATTTCCTAAGGCTGCATGTCCAACCCTTAAAACATTTCCTGAATATAGAGCCAGCGCTTAAAGAGATAATAGAAAACTGCTGTGGGACAAGTCTGAAAGTTCCTCTGGCAGCAAACTCATCCCCAAACTGGGCAACTGTTACCGTGCAAATGCAAGTGGTCCCCGTTACACCTTCTTTGATTGTCTCTAAGCTTTGGATCTGCCAACTGTGGAGGTTTTTAAACACACTGGGAAACAGAGGCACTGCTACACAGACTGGAAGCTTCAAGAAATCTGAAAATAAAAGGCGAGAAGTTCTGCTGGGTCTTAGTAGGACTCATGTACAGGTGCTCCTTTGATGTGTGAAGACCCTAAAAAGCACTTTCTTGAGAGATTCTACCTCATCACTTTCAGACATTTTAATTTTGGACTGTGGAAATACGATTGCTATATCAGCAGTCCCAGTAAGTCGACCCAGACTTTCGTCTCTCCAGCAACGTTTTACAGCTCTTCAAGTGGGATCCCAAGGCACCCCCTTGTCAGATGGGATATGTAATCCCATTAGTGAGCTCTCAGCCTACCTTAAGTCTCCTCCCCACTGGCTAAGCCCAGAACACCTCCACAGGCACCCATGAGGCATCCTCATCAATCATATCAGCTCTCTTTCAGTCTGAAGAAGCAGCAGTTTAACCCCGAGCTCCCTCTGCATATTTGTGCTTTTAACCTTGTCTCTGAGGCTGAGCCTAGCTACCATTTAAAGGAAAGTCATTTAAATCACTTGTAGAAGTGACCTTGTGCTTTCAGTCACAACCCAGAACTCATGACCGTCAGTAAGGGTTGGAACATAGATCGACTGGTAGATGGTAAATCCAAAGAATTGACGTCCAGCTCAGCTCCCTATTTTCATTGGCAGCCCCATGCAGTGCCTGCTGTACTGTTGACACTGCAACACTCCACCCATCAGTCTTTTACCCCCACTCACCAACAAGACCCCAAGCTACTCAAACCCCTTCACTTCCGGCAAAGACCCATTCCCAACCCAAAGAAAGCAGAAACGTCTCATAAGAAGCAGGAACGAGGAAATTCAACCTGGTAAATCTATCAAAGATGATGACTGGGAAGATTCAATTAAAGGAGCAAACCATGCCTCATCATGTTTCAGGCCTTAATCTGTTACCGTCTGAAGTGCTCCATATGTCACATGTTGTGAACGTGACACACATTTTGTTTACTGGAGACTTCTACTAATTTTATTGATTCACTTCTTAAGTCAATAATGCACATTTTAATAATGTTATCTTCTTTGGCCACAATTATGGTGAAGTGAAACTCTGATGATGTGTGCCCTTATCTGCACTAATAACAGAGGCTGTTTTTTTTAAAGGACAGTTTCACACAAAAAATAACTAGCACAGTACTTCTGTTTGACATCAGCTCAAGAAAAGTTTGATTTCGGGCCCACTGAAATGAAAATGGTAAAAATCATCCCCCCTACATACGCGCCAAACATTTCCCTCCCTGCCAGAGTCACTAATTACCCACCAAACAGCGATACTTTTCCTTCTCTCTTCTCTGTTGCATAGGGAAACCTAGGGTATCCAATTGGAGCCCTACCAGCTAACTTAAACATACATTCACATAGATATTAATCATGCTGGATCAGGTTTCCAAATGAGGAAACAGAGCGCATGATTTCCGTACATAAAATAGGTGAGTATGGCGGGTCAAAGTGGTCACATAATGCAAGAAAAAATTATTCCCTTGTTGTTTCTCTAAAAAATTAATGTTCCATTGATTTGTGTAAAAAATGTGAAATACAGTTTTTTGTTTCTTTTTTCCAAACTTGTTTAATTAACAAAGCCCACTGGGAGGGGCTAGGGGGTTTTAAAAGAAGGCTTCCTGGGCCTTTCTTTGAGTCTGGAGTTTATTACATGGAAGGTAACTGCCACATTGGCTTTTGTATTGCTGCTGTGTTTCATTTTTTTTTTTTTTTTTCTTGAGTGCGAATCTTAAGTTATAGTGGAACTCCCGCCTTGTTGGTATTTTCTTTTTTGCCTTGTACATGTTGTAAATGGTATTTTAAAAGAACAAAACAAAAAACAAAAAACAACAAAAAAAAAAAAAACATGACATCAGTAAATGGCAAAGCAGCGCTGGTGACACTGTTACAATTTCAGTATCGTGGCTAAGCAACATGGACAGCTCAATCGGAGGGATAATATAATATAATAATTATCTTTCTGCTTTAGCAACAATAAAATGGGTACGCATTTGGTTTCCCACTTTGTGCACTGTCATCAGAACCAAAAATATATCCCAAACAATAGAATCCACCATCCCGGATTTCTCGACTACTGGTCATATCAACCGTAGTTAAGCTCTACTAGTATTCAGATTTGGAGTACATCTACTCAATTTTGGCTACTAGTGTGCAAGTAGACTTTACTAGTGAAGCAAAAATTACTAGTGGAAGGCAACACAAAATTGTCTACAAGTAGACAATTTTGCTTTACTTTAAGTCTACCCGTGCACTTGTGTGCTAAAAACCTTTACTTGTAAAGCAAGATTTAAGGTTACTAGTTACTAGTAAGGTTACTACTAGTTAACTCAAAATGTATTACAAATAGCACTAGTTCTTAGTCTACTTGTAAGACTAGTAGCGGCGAAAAGATTAACTGGTAGTACTAGTTGACCTAATACAAATGAAGTAGGAGGTATTATAACCAAATCCAGCACCCTGATTGGTTGTAACATTTTCAAAAGCCAAGACAAACATTTTTAAGTCTACCATTGGTAGTAGACCCTAAACTGTCTACTAGTTCTACTGATGAACATTTGTCAGTCTACCACTCGTACAAGAGACATTTTTTGCTTTGCTAGTACAGTATACTTTATGCACTTGTAAACTCAAGTTGAGTACATGTACTTAAAATCTAAATCCTAGTAGAGCTTAACTATTGCTGATATCACTGAAAATATATTTAAGCTCAAACGGCTTTCCGTAATTAACAGACTCAAGCACTAACATTTCAGAGTACGGAAAATCCAAACCATTTATTACTTTTCTCAGAAAAAATGTTTTTTCTTTTCCTTTCACAATCATCATAGAGAGTCATAACCATGGACCCATCAAACTGCACTCTGATTCATTTAATATTAACTTGCAGGGTGGGCAAAACCCTCTTGCATCACAGCAGGGTCCTGCTCAGCCTGTGAGGGTCCAATCCACCACAACACTTGCTTTACAGTGCAACTTTACACAACAACTCTTCCCCTTCGGAATACTTTCATAATTTTGTATACTTTTTTCTTCCAAAACATATTATTGAGACTACATTACTACTAGATAATATTAATGACCAGTGTTTACCTAAAACTAAGAGTTGTGATGTACAGCAGCCTGCAAGAGTAAACAATCTGCAACCTCAGCTCTCCAATAGGAGAAACACACTGCAAGTGTTCAAAGTTTATCATAACAATAATAATAATAATAATAATAATAATAATAATAATAATAATAATAATAACAATGATAATAATAATAACAATGAATGAATGAATAATAGTAAAAACAATCTAAGTCCAAAACAAACACATGCAGATCCAAAGCAAAATGCTGCAAATGTTTTACAAAAATTTGCAAAGCCAAAAGCTTTGGAAACCTGTATACAAAAGATAGATGCTGAATGAAACAGCTTTGTTGTTATTGTGATTGCTGCCATTTCAGGAGTAATTGAAAATTGGACAGTCTTATTCTCCAAAATAAAGGGTTAGAGAGGCCAAGATCCAGTTTGATTTTTATTTCCTCCATTTTTGTGTGTTAAGATTCAGAAAACAAGAGATGCCAGAGATGCAAATGACTATGAAGACAAGATGACAATGATTTGTCAGTGGCAGATTTGAAATAAAAAAACTGGAAGCTTCCTTGAAAACTTGTGCCAAACAAGTTTTTTGCTGCTGCTTTAAGGTTGATGCTCCAACTCACAGCTATGTCCTATAATACAACACAACACAACACAACACAACACAATGCAACACAACACAAGAACTTGATTGATCTCCATTATTTGTTTGTCTGGAATCTCATCTATTTTCAGAAGAGTTATAAAGCCTGATGGCTGTTGGTACAAAAGATCTTCTGAATCTTTCTGTCCTGCAGCGAAGAGAGAGGAGCCGTCCACCACCACTGGCCCTTTGGTCCTTTAAGGTGTTGTCAAGTGGGTGATCCATGTTCTTCAGAATAATCTCCACCATCCTCAGTGTAGATCTCTCCACCACATCCTCCACTGAGTTCAGCTTGAGTCCAACCACAGAGGACAGAAAAAAGGGAAACTGTCTCCTTATACATAAGATGTCCATGTACTGCAGGTGTAAACAATCTGTGATCCAGTCAGTTTAGCAGCCTGGTCTCATTTAATCAAGCTTCTCAAGAAATTTGTGGCAGCACTATCTGATGTGTGCATTTTCAATTCTACAGTCATGTGACACAGATACAGATGTTTCCTGCACAGCCTCCATGTGTTTATAAAAGAGGCTAGGCCGCTTTTAAGGGATTTCAGATAGATGGGTACTGTCGATTCATCCTGGGGTCCTGCAGTTGCATTATTCAGATGATAAATCCTGCAGCCATGGTAGCATGTTACCTTTGCTTGTAAGTCACACAGGGATGCAATACAACATCTTCACAGATGATGATGAGTTATTTTTAAGTTGTGTGCTCAACACTAATGAGGAGTCATGGTTTAAAATCAGGTCTTTTGATATCAACAGTTCTTTTTGACTGTGCTGGAAAGTCCATGTCCAGTTCTTTGGTGTTTGAATATGTGTGAATTGAAGTCTTGGTTTTATATGGTCTTCCTGAAATTCCTCGTAACTGCGTGATGACAGGAATGTCTCGCAGACTTTTCATGGCTGGGACACGAGAGATTAGAGGGATTTGTGTCGAACCCTGTCCTGTATTCTGTAGGACAGCCTTATGATGGGATTTTAATCCTCTGACTACACCACCTTTGGGTCTGAAGTCTTTCTGGTGCCAGCGCCCCAGGCTAACCTGCCCACAGATAATGGAGTCAGCAGGCTGTTTCTCATGCTCTGGACTGA